ATTACCATTATTTTGCAAAAAATTTGAAACGAACAAAATTTGTTTTCATAAAATTGTTGTGGTAACAACGAAAATTTTTTTCGTTGAAAAATTTTTATTATTTAATTTACAAAACGATGTTTATAAACATTTTAAAAAATAAAAAGTATTTCAAATAGATTTTACTTATAAATGATTAATCAATTCTCTTCGTATGTAAGAATTTAGACAAAGTCACACAGATACAAACTTTTGAAAACATTTCAGAGCGCGCATACTTCTTACAAATATAAAACCGGTGTGTGTGTGTGTGTGTGTGTGTGTGTGTGTGTGTGTGTGTGTGTGTGTGTGTGTGTGTGTGTGTGTGTGTGTGTGTGTGTGTGTATTCAGATTTAAACATTGTAGTTAATTCTGGATATTATTTGAACAAAACATATCCTAAAATTTAAATAAAAAAATTCGCACTAGTATATTTTAATTGAATAAAATTTTAATTACTTATTCTAAAATAAAGGTTTTTTTTAAATAAACATTGGTGCTTTGTAAAAGTTTGAAAGAATCTTAAAAATCTTGGATATATTAGCAATATTCGTTTACACAATTTTAACTGTATTTCTTTTATAGTATTTGATACAAAAAAACGATTATTATCTCGACGAAACCGGTCGCATTACTTTTGGAAATCACTAAATCACAACTAACTTAAATGAAATTTAAAAAGACTTATCCTTTTAAAGTTTATTTAAGTTAGTTGATTGATGTTAAAAAATGAAAAATTTCCGGTCCTTTTTTTTAATAAATAAAATTTTGATTTGCGAACGTAATGTTAAGGAAACGAAACTCTTATAAAAATAATTTTAATACTTTCTTGTAGAAAATTTATTTGAATTAAATAATAATGAAATAAATCTGAATTTAAAGAAGGAACAAAAATCTTTGAATGCTAAAATTTTACAACTTAAAACATATTATACATAAGAGCAAAAATGAATCGTAGAATACTTATCTACAGTTGCCACGCAAGAATTTTAATTACTAACATCTATAAAACTCTTTGGTAAAAGAATTTTGTAGATTAGATAAATAATCGTTAAAAAAAAAAAAAAAAAAAAAAAAATAGAAAGTTTAAGATATTTAGTTAGCAAATTTTTGGTTATAAAAAAAATATGTATATATAATTAAAATATTAAAAAAAACAAAAAAATTTAAAAATTTATTTTCTATGCAAAATTTTTTATTTAAATTGATGTAAATTTTCTGGAATTTTTCAATTACATATTGTTTTTACTGGTTCAGTCATTCATGTGAAACTCTTTTGTCATTCCAATATTTTCAAATAAAGTTTTTGTTTAATGTATATATATATAATATATATATATATATATATATATAATATATATATATATATATATATATATATATATATATATATATATATATATATATATACATTAAACATTTATATATATATATTATATATATATATATATATATATATATATATATATATATATATTATATACATTAAACATATATATATATATATATATATATATATATATATATATATATATATATATACTATATATATATATATATATATATATATATATATATATATATTATATATATATGTATATATATAACAAAAACTCCCCCCTCCTCGTCACAAAACATAACTCTTTATAACAAATTACCGAATGAGTTTGTCATAAAACCACTAACCCTTTCCCCATTCTTAAAGCGTGACATAATTTATAGACAACTCAAATTCAATTATTTGTTTAAAAATTTTATTCAAATAAAATTTTTTACAATAAATAAGAAAATATAAAAAAATTATGAAAATTTTTGAAAAAAAATGATTTTTACGAATAAAAACAAATTTGCTTTTTTGTCAAATCTTTATAACATTTATGATAATAAGAAAAACGAGTTAAGTTTGTGAAAAACAAAACAAAAATTTTTCTTACTAGAAATAAATTTTTTTTTAATTACTAGTATAAAAAATATACACACAAAAAAAACTATTTATCTAATCAAATTTGAGTTGTTTTATAGTTAAAAGCAGGCATTTTTTTATGGAGGAAAAAAAAAAACTGGATCAATTTTGTATTTTTTATGTAAACAGAATTGACAAAAATTAGTCCTTCATCTTAAACAATTATTTGCACTTGATTCTGAATGATTAATTTTATTTTTTTATAATTTGAACTATTATTTATACTCTACTCTGCAGGCTTAACTTATTTTATAAACTTGTTAAGGTAAAATTACTAGGTAAATTTATTTAAGTAAAAATATTGGTACATTTCAATAGCATAAAGCTTTGAAACATGCACTGGATCTCAGTTTCACCCTTATGTACCTCACAAATAGTCTGAGAAGGGCAACCAACTATCAATCAGTTTGCCCAGCCAGAAAAAATGGCTAAAAAATTGTGTGTTTTTACATTTTTATATATATATATATATATATATATATATATATATATATATATATATATATATATATATATATATATATATATATATATATATATATATATATAATATTTTAAATATTTCAAAATTTTCAAAAAATACAGAAAAAAATATGAGGAGCCTATTTGCAAAACGCGCTAAGAGTAAACTGATAAGAAAACAATAAAAAGCTAAACTACTTTTAGTTGCACATCAACTAAAATTGATATTGTCTTTGTCCATTTTTCGGACCAAAAATTTTTTAATTGGTCCAATATTTAAATAGATGATATATTTAAGTATATAGAATGTGGAAATAGGATTAACTCAAAATTTATATTTTTGCACGTTTTGCAAATGGGCTACTCATATAAAATACGCGAAAAATTTTATATTTTGCAATAAGAATGAGTTTCTCAAAGAAAAAAATACTAAAAATTGTAATTGCAAACAAAGAATTGAATGCCCAATGAATGGTAAATGCTTATCAAAAAATATTATTTACAAATGCATTGCTTCCTCACAAAACAACCCTGACAAACAATATACCACCTTAACCGAAGGCAAATGGAAAAAAACGTTATGCCAAATACTAACAATCTTTTAAACATAAAAAATGTGCAAAAAGACTATGCTGGCAACTAAAAGAAAAAAATATTTATTTAAAATTAAAATGGTCTGTTTGTAAAACTGTGCGTGCATATAATAATATTTTCAAAAAATTCAGCACATACATCGAAAATCAAATAGTCTGATCCACAACAGAGCGCTGCTATATCGAATGAAAGTTTTTCTAAAAATTCAAGCGCACTTATTTACCTTGCTCAAAAAGGTTATTAGGAAATTGTAACCTAACATATGGGTTGAGTATAGTATAGTATAGTATAGTATATATATATATATATATATATATATATATATATATATTATATATATATATATATATATATATATATATATATATATATATATATATATATATATATATATATACATATACATATATATATAAAATGAGAAAAAACAACTTTTTTATGGTACTTAAAGTTTCATGCCATTTTTAGCACTATCAGCCATACCATAAAAAAGTTGTTTTTCCTCATCTAACCTTTTATTTATTTATTGATGTTTTTTGTGATCATTTTACTTTATATTGATCACTCTAAATTGAAAAAGATTTGATTATTATCACATAATAAAAATAATGATATATATATATATATATATATATATATATATATATATATATATATATATATAGTATTATATATATATATATATATATATATATATATATATATATATATATATATATATATATATATATATATATATATATATATATATATATAATAGTGATGTACCGATTATTTAGCAATCGGCCACTTTTTGCACCTACTTAAGCATTGTTATCTATGTGTTCAAGTATAGCCTTTTATATTTCTATATGATTGTCATTTAGATACCTAAATTACTAATGAATTAATAAAGAATTATAAGTATTGGGTGGACACGGAAAAATCCGGTCATCTTTAAATTGAGATTTCTCCAAAACCACAAATGCTTTTATTTAATTTTTTTTTTTTAATTAAACCTTACTTCTTTATCTAAAATGGTGTTGATAAATTTTTGTTTACAAATTAATGATTTGCAAAATGTTTTGGAAACAAGTTGAGGTGCGTAAAAAAGTTGTGAATTTTTTTTGCAAAAATCCATCGACTTCCTATCGCTTGATTGCTAAACGCACAAATGTCCTAAAATCTACAGTCATAGATATTATAAACAAGTTCAAGACTACTCAAAGCTTTGAAAGAAAACTTGGAAGTGGAAGAAAAAAAACTTTCCATAAATCCAAAAAGGTAAAGTCGATTTTACGTTCAATAGCAAGAAAACCAAATCAGTCACAGCGAGATATAGCAAGAAAATTTAGGACTTCTCGTTCTTATATCAAAAAAGTACTTAAAAATGCTGGAATTAAAGCATTTCATAAAAAAAATACACCTAAGAGAAGCTTAAATTGTGAAACTAAAGGAATTCGACGCGCAAAGAAGTTGGTTAAAATAATGGCGGATAAATATAGGTGCATAATTGAAGACAATGAAATGTATTGCAATGCGGATTTTTCACAACTTCCTGGTCAACAGTTTTACTATGAAAACAAAGATAAACCTGTCGATGATCAATTTAAATATATTCAACGATAAAAATTTCCATCCAAGTTCCTTGTGTGGCAAGCAATTTGTAGCTGTGGTATGCAGTCCTCTTGTTTTGTCACTAAAAAGACCTTGACTGCCAATCTCTACATCAAAGAATGCCTCCAAAAAAGACTTTTGCCTTTTATAAAAAATAATACCGATGTCTCTTTTGGCCCAATCTTGCTGCCTCTCACTATTCTAAAAAAGTTTTACAGTGGTGCAAAGATAATAATGTGAAAATTGTTCCTAAAGATGCGAATCCTCCAAATCGTCCTGAAGAGCGCAAGATTGAAGATTTTTGGGCAATAGTTAAAGGAGTTCTTCATAAGACAACTGGACTAACAAATAATAAAAAGGACTTCCAAAAAAGGTGGATTAATGCCATCAATATGGTGAAAAAAGAAAAAATCTGTAAAATGATGGCATCAACCCGCTATAAAGTTCAATTTCTTGCCAAGCAACCCATAAAGCCTCTTAAAATTAAATTGAAACTCTAATTTATGTAAACACATTTAATAATAAAAAAAATTGAAATAAAAAGCATTTATGGTTTTAGAGAAATATCAATTTAAAGTTGACCGGATTTTTCCGTGTCCACCCAATAAATTGCTTACCTTAGTACCATTTTCTTTTTAAAATTGAAATAAAAAGCATTCCTCTAAAATTGTATTTATTTTTTGAAATTTTTTTTTTCATAATAAAAAAAAACTAAAAAATGTATACTTTTTTAACTGAGTTTTTCTAATATCTTTTAAAATAATGGTTTGGCTCTGATTTGTGCCCAAGTATTTGTTTAAAGTTGTATGATTTTATATTTTCAAAACTTTAATAATTAGTTAATTCATCGGTATAGGCTTCGGTGTTTGCCACAAATGTGCTATATATATATATATATATATATATATATATATATATATATATATATATATATATATATATATATATATATATATATAATATATATATATATATATATATATATATATATATATATATATATATATATATATATATATATATATATATATATATATATATATATATATATATATATATATATATATATATATATATATATATATATATATATATATATATATATATATATATATATATATATATATATATATATATATATATATATATATATATATATATATATATATATATATATATATATATATATATATATATATATATATATATATATATATATATATATATATATATATATATATATATATATATATATATATATATATATATATATATATATATATATATATATATATATATATATATATATATATATATATATATATATATATATATATATATATATATATATATATATATATATATATATATATATATATATATATATATATATATATATATATATATATATATATATATATATATATATATATATATATATATATATATATATATATATATACACACACACACACACAATATTATATTTAGTATTAACAATACTATAAATTATTTTTTAATAGATAATATATTACTTTAAAATATATCACTTTGTTAAAAAGCAATTTACATGAGGTACATATATATACATGCTCGCTGCATTGTAATATGAATAAATCATTTTCTTGAACAAACTAATTGGTAAAAGAGTTTTTTTATTTTTTGCAAGTATTTACAGCTCTTGTACAGTATTTGAATTGTATATGAATTATGTCTAAGCTGTATTAATATACTAGGGTAACAGGTTAGTTTATAGAATATGTATTTCTTTAAGATATCTACCATAAATGAAACGCGACAACCAGTAAATGCAGCACATCTACCAGTAAAAGCAACACATCTAAACAATAGGAACTAGACTTCAAATTAAGTAAACTTTTATTTCTTCAAATTCTTAATTATATTAATAAAATTTTAAAAATATACTAATTACTTTTTAACTGTCATCTAAAAAGGATTTTGAACATTTATTTAAAAACTGTAACTCATCAAAAAAAGCCTAAAAATAGTAATGGAAACTTAGTCTAAGAAGTTATTTAAAAAATAAAACATTTTATTTTCTTCAAATAAAAAAAAAAAAATCATTCCAGCAAATTTTCAATAAGTTAGCTTTTATGAAAAAAACACAATCCTGAAAATTTTAGCTTGATTGGCTGTTCAAAAGTTTTTTTGATAATAAGTAAAAATACCTGTTTTCTCTTACAGATTTATTGTAGTTTATTGTTTTACTCTTACAAATTTATTGTCATAATTGCATTATGACAGAGAGGACTGTTTAGATAAAGCTTTGGAAATAGGTTCAAAAATTTTAGCTGCGCAGACATAGATTCACCTTAAGGTATATTTTTTTATTCGGAATTTATGTTGTATTTTATGTATATGCATATATATTGGGTTAGGGAATAAGTTCGTTCAGTTTTTTTCAAAGAGGATTTTTTAAAGGATTTGTTTGTTGTTGAGCAAAGAGTTTCTTTTCATTAGACAGTGCCTTTTTTTTTTAGTTTTTTTAAATATTTTTAGTTTTTCCTATTTTCTTCCCTTAGAAATAGAATAGGTTGTTAACAGTAACAACAAATACATAATTGATTATTTTATTGTTATAATTATTGTTTTTTGTATAAAGAAAGCTCTTTGAAAAAACCGAACAAACTTACTTCCAACCCAATACATATGGGTTATTCCATATTAAATCACCTAGTTTTTCAAAACTGCCCCAGGTTACCACCTCAAATTTGTTTCAAATTTTGACCACAGCTTTTATGAAAAAAAAACAATCCTGAAAATTTTAGCTTGATTGGCTTAGCCGTTCAAAAGTTATAATTGAATCAATATTGACCAAAATTAGAAAAAATTCCAGTAGGTTTACAGGCTTACAGTAGGTTTTTTTGATTTTTAAAAGATCTTGACATTTTAAATAAAATAGATGATCACCTGAAATTTTTTATGGTATTAGTTTTTCATCCAAATTATCTATTTTCGCAGGTGTTTTTGACTGATTTTAAACAATTTTTGAGTTTTTGTACCTTGTTGCTAAATTACAAACTTAACAAATAATTTTAATCTAAAAGATTAAAATTATTTGTTAAAAGTTAATTTAGCACTTGCAGCAGCCTGTTAAAATATCACTTTTTTTAAAAAATTTGATAAATTACATTCACTTAGGCATAGAAAGTAGTATAGACAGTTAAAATAAATTATGAACTTTTACAGGCAAGGTTCTATATATAGACAACCACCAAAAAAAGTTTAAAGACCTATACTCTATCTTGTCATGATTGTAGCCTCATAACTGAGGTGTATATTGTTTATAGTTTATTGGTTGCATTTTAGACAGTTTTAATCAAATTTGTACTTGAGATTTCATTTTTACTGATTTTATCACTGGAAAAAATCTTTTTTTAGATTATGTTACACGATTTACCCTCAATTTTAATACTTTTAGATTAGTAAAAAATGTCAGAGAAATGTTGTGTGGGAAGAGTTTTAAATGAAAATTGTGATAAAATGTTATTTTGTAGAATGGTAGAAAGAGTAAGACTAAAAGATACTGATATTGAAGTTTTAATTCAAAGTATAGGACTTTCGAGCCAAATGAGGAGATTTGTTTTCACCTTAAAAAAGCCTACATTTCTAGATATGAAGCACTTCAAAAATTCTGTTTTGATCCACTTAAAGTCCACAAGAGAAAAAATATCAATCCTATTAATATAATTAAAAGGATTGTGTAAAGTCAACATATCGATAGCAAATCAACTTAAGATCAAACTTGGTCAAAAAGTGTATGAAAAAATTACAGAAGTTAGTCAAGATGAAGCTGCTGAAGAAGATTTTAGTTGTTCAGACCTTGATAAGACAGTTCTTAATAAGAGTGTCTTTATTGGAAATATCTCTACTCAAAAATGTAAGTAGGTGCAACAAATTAGGATATGAAAAGCCGAAAAGCTAAAAAAATCGCAACAAGTGCGTCAGCATTGGATATAGACCCAAAAGATATAGTATCGCAGGGCTCAAATTAAGTGATCGCGAATTGCGATATCTGGAAATGCTTCCGGTCTTTAAAATTTTAGCTTTTTAAAAACCGTAAAACTGTTAGGTTCACTTAACTCAATAGATATCATTTAATAAAAAAATTTACGTCGATTATGATATAAAATCTTAATGTAAAACCATATTATCACTATTATTTTTATTATTATTAAAGATTATAATTTAAACTTTAATATTTAAATTTATTTTATAAAACATCAGATAAAACTAGAAAAATAAAGCATGATAAAGTACGATATAAATATTAAAAAACAAGCGCTAATTACAACAATCTAAAGGACTTTAACAATGATCAAATATTTTATATAAAAGAAATTGCTAAATAAGATATAAAATACTCTATATGTTATTTAAATCTCATTCAATATTTTCTTATAAATTTAACGCTTGTAACATTTTAGCTGATACAAATATAAAATTAAAAGAGGGAGGAGTTAATATATAAAAACTAATTTAAACTTTTTTATAGTTACTTTTAAACAAAAAAAAAAGAAACTCTAATAACATATTTAAAAAATATATACTTTATAATTTTTTTTCTTATTAAATAATTAAATTCTAATTTAAAAGATTTAAATTTTTAATAAATAATTCCATAAACTTTCCCCCTAAATAAAAATCTATTTTAATGTTTTATATAATGCGCAAGTAGCTTTAGCATACTTTTTTTAATTGGTTGTTTTTTTATACAAAGTTTTAAACAATGCGCAAATAGCTTAACATAGTTTTTCATTGGTTGATTTTTAAATTACCGCAAAAGTTTTTCGGACCTTTAGTAATAATAATTTTTGTCTTGCAACTTTTTTATTTATAATCCTTAAATTACATATTATTAATTATTGTTTAAAAAAACAATAACTAATAATATGTAAATTTTGACTGTTATTATTTATGCAGTAGTAAATTTATTGTTTTTTCTTTTTCATTAATTTTTGCAATATGATAAACTGACCATTTCATTAAAACAGTGTTTACGGTTTTTTTAAAAACTAAGAATTTAATGACCACAGGTATTTCCAGATATTGCAATTTGCGATCACTTAATTCGAGCCCTGTATCAGAAAAAGAGCAAAAATCTATTAACTGTAATGATTTATACAAATTGTAAGATGCAATAAAAAATAAAATCAAAATAAGTTTGAAGGAGGAAAAAGTTTAACTACTAACACTTACTCCTGATAGTTAGTCAAATGAAAAAACTTGCAAAATATTTTCAGCTTTAGAATATCTTGTTAAGAAAGCTTGAAAGTTGAAAAATGAAAAAGGAATACTTGCTAAAGCTGAGGCTAAAATAGGATAGGCTTATTGTTAATCAAAAGATATTGTTAATCAAAAAGTCAGTGAAATTCATGAATCTGAAGGGTACACAAGACAATTAGAAAGTGACCGGGCCCCTGGTTTGGATACCAATAAATGAGACAAACCTGGCCCCAGCAAAATTATAAGATTTAGCAGGTGTTGATAGCCTAGAAAAATTTATAATACTTAATACATTATAATTTTATGCTTACATTTACTATTTATTAAATACTGAATATCTTTGAAATCTAACTTACTTCCAACAAGATTGCAAGCAATAACTATCAAGTTATGACTTACTTTAAAATAGAGGATAGGCTAAAATACTAGAAAATGATTAACTGAAGACTTTATTAGTTGTAGGATGTATTAAAATAGAAAATATGAAGATAGGGAAGACTTTTTTGATGTGCAAGGAAAAAAACTGGATTAATAAAAGTTTTTATAGCATGAAGGGACAGATACTGTAAAAGGATGCATCTTATTGAATAAGAAGCCATGTAAGAATGAGCTTTGGTTTATTGTAATAGAGATAATAGCTTGTTTGAGCATTGATCATGACTTTTTCTACAAATACTAAAATTCATTCTCCAGAATTTTAGTATTTGTAGAAAAAAGAAAGAAATGCAACCTTACAACAATGAGAGAGTGGTTCAAGCACGGCAGATATAGCAGGTCTAACAATGTGTTTTTAGACTTTGTCTGAGAATAAGAGGGTTGTTATTCGTCAATATAGGAATACCAACAATATTGCAATATTTTTTTGCAGTAAATAAATGAGTTATGTTGCCTAAATAAATTGTGGACTTTAAGTCCAGTATTTAAAGCCACATGCAAACCTGTTACAGGCTGTTACAGAAAAGAGATCAGATTAAAAACCGGCTACTTGTTCAAAGTAATCAAAAAATGAAGATATTTTCTTAACACAAGAGTACAAAGTTGAATTATCAGTAAATAGAGGCACATTAGTAATGTAAAAAAAGTTTATGTAAAATTGTTATTGTAGATTTAGATTTTATTGGAACCACTAAAGTGGTATCTAAAGTTACTTGAAAAGAGAGGATTCAAGAATTACTTTAACAATGCAGTTAGAAAGAAATAATTTAATGATCTCAAAAACTTTATATAATGAAACTAATAACAGAGTGAAGAAATACTTCACTTAAAATTGCCAGATGAGGGCATACACCAACATTATATAGCAGAACATTCAAAGAGTTTTTTAACATTCACTGATAGATTTATCCTATATCCAGAATTTTTACCTATGTATCATTTTATAATATTTTTCTACCTATTTATAATTATATACTTTTCAATAAAACAGCTTTAGTTTGTAAAAATTACAACTATGTTATTAAAATAATACTATCCTGCGTTTCTGACTGTTACCCAGAAAATCTTCTTCCTCACTGATTTCAGAGTCCTTGTTAGACTTTTCTTCCTCACTGTTGAATTGAATCTCTTCTGTCACGGAGTCATATGACAACAAAACATCATTGACATCTTTTAAGTTTTTCTGTC